GCCCTTCTCGGCCCGCGGGCCGGAGACTGAGCGCCGGCTGCCGCAGGAGAGGAGAGGAGAGGAGAGGAGAGCCGGCGGCGCCCTCTCTCGCTCTCTCCCCGAAAAGAGGAGGAAGGGGGTGATGCGCGATGGCTGGAGGGAGGCGGCGCCGCGGGGTTGGTCGCCCCTCTCGGCCCGCGGGCCGGAGACTGAGCGCCGGCTGCCGCAGGAGAGGAGAGGAGAGCCGGCGGCGCCCTCTCTCTCGCTCCCCGAAAAGAGGAGGAAGGGGGGAAAGGAAAGGGAAGGAGACAGACAGAAAGAAAACGAACAACACCCAAAACTTCCGGTAATTATAATTTAAAAACAAAAAACAACAACCTACAAACTTTCCCCCCCCCCAAGAACTCAGACCCACCCAAGGTGGCCTTTGGGGGCGAACAGGATGGGCCACGAACCAAGAAAATAGGATTGTTCTTGGGGGGGGGGGTACCATCTATCTAGCCAGGATTAAACATTCTATATATGATATGATATATATTAGTGATGGAGGGACTGGTGTTAGCCGATTTAAGCACCTGTTTTTGGGATGGTGGCGGGAGGCAGCCAAATGTTTTCTTGTCATGATAGGAGCCAGGGAAGAGAAAGGGGAGGTTTGGAAATAAAAGGAGTGTACAGAATTAAGAAATAGATGATGATTATTATTTTTTTTTGTGGGAAGCATTGGATTGGATCCTTTTTTGCCCTCCCTGGATGCGATCCAGCATTTTGGAAGGCAAGGGGGGGCTTTAAAATAAGGAGGACCTGTTAGGGGAAAGTCACCATCCCCAATCCAAAGAGGAGCGTTGGTAGTAAAGAGTTCGAAGGCTCAGCTCTGCATTTGCTTTACCTGGGAATCAAAAGCCACTGAACTCAGTTCACTTTATGCTGGGAACAGATATGAGCTAGCTTTGCGCCGTTCCTGGGTTGGGGCTACGTTGGCGGCCTGTTTCATGTTGTAAAATGCCCAAAAATGGCCCTTGACCAGATGGCCGGTATGTAAGTTGAATAGAGAAATAAATTTTTCAAGTGGCAAATTGCCTTGTTCCTCTGTCGCAGCAACTTCACGATTAAGAACTCTGTGTTGCCCAGAAGGCTAATGCATTTGTCACGTCATTCAGCTTTGCCAGCCTCGGGTGGGGTGGGGTGGGCCTTTTGGTCAGGGCGCTAAAGGGACACATTGGAAGAAACCAGCCTGCAGGCAAACACAAGACTCCGCGTCACAGTCAATCTGTTAGTCTTAAGAATGGCACAGATCTCCTCTTCTCCTGGATTTGGGCTCTTAAATGCAAAGCGGGGCAAACTGGACGTGTAGCAAAAGTCTCTGATTTATTATTTATTGAGCTAGTTTATTTATAGGTGGCTGTTTCTCATATAAAATATAGGAAATGTATTTTCAGAAGCCAGGCGAGGAGGAAGGGGGGGGGAGAGAAATAGGAGCATGTGTCTTTTCGAAATATACAAGCTTACTAAATAGTAATAATAAAAATAATAATGCTTTCCCCTCCCTTTGTTTCCACCAAGGGGAAGTTCTGAATGACTGGAAGTCCGGAAGTGAAAAACTTCAAGCTTTCACAGAGGAGCGGAGAGCACAGACAGAAAGAGATGGATTTATTATTCATCTAGAGGGTCGTCGTCATCCTGGTTTAAAAGGAGAACTGTTGGAAATCCAAATAAAAAATTAAAAATCTGTCAAAGGGAATAGAAGGCGAATTCTCGTTGGAGAACTGCTTTCAAAGAGAGAAAGGCGGGCGACCGTGTGGGGTTAGAAAGGAAAGTCTTCCCCGAAACCACAGATTCATTATTTGTTGAAATTCAAGGTCTCTCTGCTCCTTGCCATTGTTGTTTTTTTTAAGCTTTGGACCCAAAGAATAATTCACGAGACTTTTTCGCCTGTAAACTGCACAGAGATTTCTCTACAAAGGCCCGTTTGCGACCTGAATTGAGTTGCAGCAAATTCTCTTCTTTGGGAGTTCAGTGTTTTTTTTTTTTTTTTCCCCCAAAGAAAGTTCAGAAACTTTTCTTCCCACCATGAGTCTTCTATCCTATGGATATCCGTTTTGAGATAACAGATGAGGAGAATTGCTGGTGTCTTTTGGGGATTGTACTGTTGTTTGGGGCCATGGGCTGCATCCAGAGCATTAGCTGCAAATCCAAAGGCTTTCGGGAAGCCATCTCCGTGATCGACGTCAAGGCCTTCATCGATCCTGTCCCGACCAACATCGACGAGTCGTCCAGCGTGGTCCTGAGATACCGAACCCCGCATTTCCGGGCCTGCGCTCAGGTGTTGGTACCGCCTCTTCCCAAGAAAGAGACGTGGATCATCGGATGGATCCAGGCGTGTAACCACATGGAATTTTATAACCAGTACGGGGAGCATGGAATGTAAGTTGGTAATGCGGTAGAAGTCTATGTCATGCGTGAGGTTTGACCGGCTTGGTCATTATGAAGGCGAGAATTTCACTTTGGTTTATTATTATTATTTGGATAAGGATGTACAACATTCCTCTCCCCCCCCCCGCCCCCGGGTAGGATTATAGAGCTGGAAGGAAGCCCAAAGAGGACACGGAGTCCCACCCCTGCGGAAGCAGGAAATCCTGTGCTACTACGCTCCTAACAGATGGCCTTCCCACTTGTGTTTTGGAAAAAAAAAATGATAAAAAAGGAGAACCCGCCGTCCTCTGAGTTAATCTGTTCTACTGCAGAAGAGCTTTTAAGTTTTCAGTAATTCTCTCTTAAGACAAGACGGCGTTTTGTGGTGGAACCTAGAAGGGGGTTATAGGTGGGTGGAAAGAAGAGTGGATAATTTAATAATTAAAATGCCAGAACACCTGAAACCAGCAGGTGGATCTATCCACACACACAGGGTTTTGAGAGCTTAACTCTTCCAAGTCTGGTTTCCGATCCTTTGGTATTTGACTATGTTGGCTGTTGTGTTGGCATAGGGTTGCCATTCCCCTTTTAACACCTGTACGGCAGGTAGCTTACAGCGGGGGCCTCCTCTTCCTGATGGGAATAGACGGACCTCCTGGATTTGGTGCAAACAGATAATGGAGATTTCCCTCCCAGTCTGCTTTTTGAAGAATTTTCCAATATTTGTTGATTCTATTGGGGATGGCAAGAACTTGAGGTGTAAGGAATTCAAAGGAGGGAGGAAGCAAAATAGATTTTTCCTCTTTTTTTGTCATAGTGCATGGGGAAGGAGGTGTTTGAGCACCCCAAGGATTTTGGAGGTGCCACCACGGCTAGCATTTTCGTTTCTCTCTTTCAAGATAGGATCCAAATGTATGTCTTCTCTAAATGTTATATCCTTTTACTTAGGTGGGTGGGTGGGGGTGCCCTTTATAGAATGGCTTGGGAACTACAAAGGGGCTGCCTGCAATAGCTCAGTAAGTTAGGTATCTGGATGCGGAGCCAGAGGTTGTGAGTTTGAATCCCTCCTCCTGTGCTTCCCTGGGAGTAGAGCCAGCCTAGATAGCCTTGGGCAAGCTGCATGGGGGTCCCAGGGAGCCCCCCCCCCAAGAAGGGAAGGAGAAACCACTTCTGAGTCTTCTCTACTTGGGAAACCCTGAAAAGAGTAGCCCATAAGCCAGAAACAGACTTGATGGCATACAATTATTATTTTAATATATATATATTTTAAAGCCATAATTAGAAATGGTGCTGTTGAGGACGTTTCAACCAAGTTTGAGAGAATGGAATGCAAATGATCATTATGTTTGTATTATGTATGTATCTGGAAGCCGCCTAAAGTGGTTGAAAGACCAGATAGATGGGATATAAAATAAATAAGTAAACTTGAGAAAGACCCCTTAGAAGAAATATGTTATAAAAGCATTTTTTAAAGGATTGCACTACGCGGGCCACTACCGAGAAGGCCCTGCTATTCGTCCAACAGAGCAGATCAAGATCATTATTTGTTTTTTGGTTTTTTTTCAAACAACAAGAGATTAATAACTGCAAGCAATAGCTATAAATCTCTTTTGGCCAGATGCGGGTGTTAGCGGGTGCTCCCAGGATGAAGCAGAAACATAGGGGGTTGGGATGGCAGTTGGAAGTGAGTCTCCGAAAGGCCGCGTTGTTGCAGGTGGGTCACAAGAAGAGCGGCAGATCAGCAGACAGGTTAAAAACGGGAAGCTCTGAATGGCAAGCCACTGGAGACGCTGGCGGTTGCTTGCTTTGACCTAAGACAGGAAGTCAAAGAGGGGGCCCGGGCTTGGCTGACGCACAGCAAAGGGGAAGCGCAGAAAGCATGTGTCAAAGGGAGAGTGCAGCCATGCGCCAAGGAAGCCTCGAGGCACCTCTCCGTTTTTTAAAGTGTCGGGTGTGTGTGTGTGTGTGTGCGTTTTGGCAGACGCTGCTTCACTCGCCCTGGATGCAAAGCCATGCAAAAAAAAAAAAAAAGCATGTGTCAAAGGGAGAGTGCAGCCATGCGCCAAGGAGCCTCGAGGCACCTCTCCGTTTTTTAAAGTGTCGGGTGTGTGTGTGTGTGTGTGCGTTTTGGCAGACGCTGCTTCACTCGCCCTGGATGCAAAGCCATGCAAAAAAAAAAAAAATAAATAACTGGGTGAAATCCATTTTTCTACAGAACATTTGAAGTATACCTACGCATGTTGTTTATTTGTTCAGTTGCAGTTCAGCCATTGGGGTCTCTGTCTGCAGAGCCAGAAGCTCGGAGTTCGAATTTCCCCACTGGGCCTCATTGACGGGGCTGGACTGGATGACCCCAGAGGGTCCCTTCCAGCCCTGTAGTTCTAAGAGGAGGAGGATTCTTAATGAATTACCGGATAGCTCTGTGGTTTAGGTCTCTGGCGATGGTGCCAGAGGTTGGAATTTCGATTTACTATTTGAATGGCTTTGGAAAGACAGGGCCCCACCTGTTTATTGTTTGCTTTCAATTCAGCTTAAAGGGTTCTACGTTTTTTGTTCTACGACAGAATACGCCCAAAGCAGATTACTCCACTGTCCATAACGTCGTAACAATGATTCCAAAATAGATAGTCAATCAGACCAAATAATAATGATCAGTGAAGCGTATTTACAGAATTCCTTTCCCATGGATATATAGTTGGTGCCATTTTTCACTAGCTTTCGGACAGATCTTAGAAACTCCCTGCATTTATTTACAGACGAGGGGTTCTCTCTGTTGCTGCTTTGCTCTGATTTTTATTTTTAAAAAATACTGGATTTTTAAAAAAAATCCAGGGCTGAAAGGTATTTCAGACTGCTGTTTTAGAGGTGTTGCTTTAAAATGGATTTATTTTTAGTTGCAGGTGGAGCAACTAAAGCATCATGGAAATATCCTTGTAATGAACCCAATCGAATAAGCGTTTAAAGTCATGAAAGCTGGTTGGAAATGGCAGAGGGATTATAAAACCAGACAAAACAGTAGGCGATAAGCTATCACAATAACAGCAGCGCCCGGTCATTATTCTTGGAAAGTTTATAACTTACCTTAGCTTCCAGCGGGTGGAAGAGAGTCTGTCGAAAGTATACAGAGGGGCTGTTCAACCATTGAAGTGTTGCCTCTAAAATACTCCCGTTGCCTGAAACCCAGTTTTTAAAAAACTAGAATCTGTGGCCTTGATCGACCTTATAGGGTTGTTGTGAATATAAAGGAGTCCCTGTGTTGAGCAAAAGTAGGATATAAATGTAAAAAAAAAACAAAAAACTAGTGTCTTGTTTAGCCAGGAGGCTAAACACTGTTGTGAATATAAAGGAGTCCCCGTGTTTAGCAAAAGTAGGATATAAATGTAAATAAATAAATAAATAAAACAAGTGGTAGTGTCTTGTTTAGCCAGGAGGCTAAACAACCACCAAAAAGCAAATAAACACACACACAAAGTTACCATTTCAGAAGGAAAAGCAAAGCAGTGCAAAACAAAAAAAATTGGGAGAAACGGCAGCTCCTGTCGTTCCTTTTGCTATTCGTATCGGGTGATAATATTTTAAAATCTCACCTTTCTTCTGGTGGTGGTGGAGCGCAAAGGCAGGCCAAAATGGGTTTCCAGAGATGCTGGATCCGCCGGTGGAGAAACCCAGTCCAATAGACCTTTAAGGAGGTGAGATTTGGGCCTTGGGATCCCATCCCGGGGAGAAGGCACAGCGATCGCTGGAAGGAAAGGTGCGTCCGGGTGAGGGTTTTACGCTTCAGTCTCCTTTCCACATTCATGACATTTTGCAGCGGGTCCAGAGGCCGTTGTGTTTCTGATGGGTTCTTCCAGGTTGGTCTGGCGGTTTTTTTGTGAGTGTTTTTGTTTTTTAACCACTGAAAACCTGTTGAGAGAAAGGCAGGATAATTGAATCACCGCCTGCTCTGTTCACGAATTTACAAACCTGGCCTCAAATGGCTGCAGACGACTGGCAGATTCCTAATCTCCTAGCCTGGCCTGCCTTAGAGGGCTGTTGTGAGGATAAAGGGCTGGGGCGGAGAGCCATCCATATACAGTATATGGTCTTAAACTCACTGAAAGAAAGGAGAAAAGACTCCAGGGTCTTGTAAACTAGAGAGAACTCAAGGCCCTCCGCATCTGTCTGATACTCTGCGATTCCTATTTTGTTCCTGACTTTGAAGGGTACCATCGTGGTGAAAGCAATTTAGGATGATTCATAGAGCAACGCAACCCACATCCGCGTCTGCCACGCTCGCTCGTGGTGACACGAGCCTTAATTTTTCCTCTGGTGGGCATCTCTGCATTACCAGCCTGTACCAGATGGATGCTAATAGACTCTCCGTTGCTCTCCCCCCCCCCCCCAATTGGGGTTGCATGAACAAGGAGAAGCTCTGGCAGGAGGCTCAAAACTGCAGCTCCTGTCAGATCTTCTCGCAGGGAAAAGGGAAACTGTTCAGGCAAAACCAAAAACTGCTGTGGGTGGGTTAGAAAAAACAAATTCCCTGGGATATATGTTTTTTTCATTCATCCGTGGATAAGAGATCCCGCGGATAGGAGGGGTCCTGCTGTATTTGCCTCCTCCCACGGGCAGGGGATTTGTGGCTCCCAAGATATTGGGATATCCAAGCTGGTCCTGCCCACACCTATCCAGAAATATCTCCCTGCCCATGGCATCCTCACCTCTCTACCCTTCTTGTTTTACCCACCTGGAAGGCACAGAGGGGTAGAGAGGAAGCAGCAGAAAAAAGGCCCCAAAGGAAACGTGGAGAAATGACACCGGCTAACGGGAGTGTTTGGATCGGCCCAGAAACATGTGGGACAAAAGTCCACCCAGGCAGATCCTGCACTGGAGCAAAACTATGACCAAAAACACACCACCACCCTGATGCCAGTGTAAAAAAAACAAAACAAACCCAAAAAGCAAGGTTATTTATAACCGCAGAATAATCATGTTAAGAGTTGCAGAGAATCAAATTCCCAACCTCTGGCTCCGCAGCCAGAGGCTTCAACCCCTTGAGCCCTCCTATGTCCATCAGGGAATAAGGGCTTCAACCCCTGAGCCCTCCTATGTCCATCAGGGAATAAGTTTAATTTGCCCCGCAGGGAGTACCTTTAGAGGTGGCCACAGTGCAGCGAACGGGTGATTAGATCTACCCACTGCTAGTTTAGAAGATTTGGGGGGGGGGAACCTTCAACCCAACCCTTTCCCTCCACCGGTGTCATTTACACGCCATTGTTTTCCAAAACTAACTTCAGATCTGATGCAGACGGTGAGGGAGCCGCTTCAGCGGTGCTTAACCTTTGACGGGAGACAGATGGGTGGGTGGCTAAATGCCAGATCTTTCAAGTTTCCTATTGCTTTCCTTCTTAAGACTTTAAAAAAAAAGAACCTTCCAATGGAGCGTTTCTCTGCACTGCTGCAATCTGCAAAGAAAACCAGAGAACAGGAAATCAAGGGGGGGGGGGAATAAGAAAGATGCTCTCAGTTTATAACCTGGTTCTGCCACTGGGGAGGAAGGGAGTAAAAAACCAAAGAACATGAAATCAAAAGTGTGGGGGGGAATTAAGAGAGAAGATGCTCTCAGTTTATAACCAGGTTCTGCCACTGGGGAGGAAGGGAGTAAACCTCAATGGCCCGTTTCTTAGGGACCCCCATTTCTGCGCTCAGCATTTCTAAGGGGGAGGGCAGAAGGAACCATCCATTGCTAAAGAAGGATGGGCAGATGATTGCTCTCCAGATCAGAGTTGGGGAGGGAAGAGGGTTTGGTTTTCATATTATAACAGGTAGAAGTTTTTAGCCGGCTTTCCAAGAAAGGAACGCTTCTCTGACCTTCTGCAGATGTTGGATGACAATTCCCATGAGCACCCAGCAGTGTAGCTGATAGTGAAGGATGATGGAATTTGAAGTCCCACCACATCTGCATAGTTACTCCTTGCTCCGTCCTGGAGAAGCGACGGGCCTCCTAGTAACAGGGTATCCCTAAAGCTAAATAAATGCTGCTCCAGGACTCTTAATAAATAGGTTTTGAGGGCTAACATCCTGATAACCTTTTTTGGCTTTAAAGCAATCACAGCCTTCTTTTTTTTTATGGCTAACCAAAAATTGGATTATTGTGCTCTGTTGCTTTTTAAATGCCTTTTTAAGTATTGATTCTGTCTACCATTTTTAATGTTGTACTTGCTTGATTCTTTTTTCCTCTTTGTATACTGATTGTTCTTAGCTTTTAAGTCTTGTTCTTTTAACAATGTAAGCTGCTTGGGGTCCTTTGAAGGAGAACGCCAGGGCAAAAATATTCCAAAACAGTTGTGCAGCCTAATGGATTTTGAAATATTGGGGTGGATCTCAGCAGTTCAGGCAACGGGATCAGTAAAAACAGGCTTTTGCTGTACCCTCAAGGCCAGATGTTTTCAAATATCTACAAATATATTTATTTATTGGCTGGGATCCTATTGCTTGTATAGCCAATTGCCTCTCATTAGTGAGGTATTGATTGCCTTCCTGTATACACACCGGACTGCATGATGACATACAGGCCTAGGGAGACAATAGCAGCCATTTCTTGCCCCCCCAAAATGCGATTTCCCTTAAACAAGCATAAATCAGCGTTCGGATTCTGGCTGCTGGGGCTTAGATCAAAGATCTAAAAGTTAGACAATGTTTGTATCTTGAGCTCCACATTGAGACAACAGGACAGATCATTAAATCATTATGAGCCACCAAGTGGATTCCAGCATCTGGCAACCTTTTTCAGTTTTACCTTTTCCTTTTACTTAGAGAGTGACTCAAAACAGCGGGACTGTGGTATCCACGGGGGATCGTTTCCAAGGCCGATGCTAAAAAAGGCAGATGCTAAAAAACACAGACGTACTGTATTGAACGCTATACGTTGCACAGTCTCCGACTTCCTCTTGGGCCCCATTCTGATAAATACACCCTGGAAATGCATATAAATAACTATTTCTGGGAGGTTTTGGGTTTTTTTAAGCATTTTCAGCCAGTGGATAAGTGAATCTGCAGAAATGGATCCCACAGATGTGTGTGTGTGTGTCCTACTGTACAAAAAAATGTAAGCAAAAGCCATCACCAAAGGATAAGAAGAACAGTACAGCATAGGAAGGCACAATAAATCCAGTAAAAAGAAAAAAAGAGTGCTAAGGCTCAAAAATACGGTTTAAAAAAGGGGGGGTACTCAGCGGAAACGAAGTGGTGGAGGCGCTGTCGTTGAGGGTTCCAGCTGGTATGGAGGACTTAAGGGAGGGAGAGAGAAAAGTATAGGGACCTCTCAGGATCCGTAGGGGGAAACCGAGAGAGAGCTACTTTGGGGGTGCAGATAGGGGAATGAATATGTGCTGTGGGGGGTACCTTAGGGCACGGGTGGACAAACAGGATCCTGATGGGTCACTCCAGGTCAAGACATAGGCAGCTGTGCATTTTCAAATTATAAAACCCCATGAAACAGGGAATACCTGGAAATCACACCAGCCGCAGGATTGCGCCTAGGATTTAAAAGGATTCTTATTCCTCAATCTTTTTTTTTAAAGCATGCCAAATGCTGTGCCATAATTATCTTGGGGTGGGGTTTTAACCCCCCCCCCCCCGTTTTAATTGTGTATGGCAGCCGCTCCTCCACATCTCTCCATTTACAAGAGAGAGGGCCGTGTGGGAAGAGAGAGGCTTTGCAGAGAGAGAGCAGGGCTTTTAAAAAGAAACGCTTTAATGCCCCCCCTCTTTCTTTTATTATTATTATTTTAAATGGCTGAGAATATGTTAAATCTTTGACCATGACAGGCAATCCAGACGTCTGGCTAGGTTTGCCTTCCGCCACCCTTTTAATTAATATAGGAAAGGTCACAACCTTATCTCCTTAGACTCTTTAAAATTGGGCAGGGTGGTGGTGGTGGATGGGCAGAGTGGGATACGACTGCTGTGGATTTGACCGCAAGTCCTTGCTGGCTGCGGCAGATGGGAGTTGTAGTCCAGCAAGACCCAGAGCTCGTGGTCCTGTTTGGGAGTCCGGAGTCCGTACGTGCAGGGTTATTTTCTGCTGCGCCGTGTGTGTATCTTTTTTTTGTATATAGGGAAATAAAACAGTGCAACTGTCCATCTTCTGCCCGAGCTGTGTGCAAACAAACCAAACAGAATAAAAAAATAGATGAAGTCATGTCCCAGAAGGGTCGCTGTTTGGGATTTTTGAGAGACAGAGACACGATATGACGGAGAGCAGACGGCGGCTTTCTTAATGTGATCTCTGATTCATCCCCCCCGCGGTCCTTGAGGCTTTTCTCCATCCCGTGGTTTGCATGTGTTGGCATGTGCGTGCGCCCTCCCTCTCCATTCCCATACGGAAAGAACTGCCCTGTAGCCATTCTCCCTCTTAAAAAGGTCCGTTTTCAATTAATCTTTTATGATGGGGTTGGACAGAGAGCCTCGTTTTAACAAGTCCTGCATTTGATGCAGCGAAGACGAAAGCTCTCTTGGAAACAGGAGGGGGGAAAAAAGACTTAAGATGTCGCTATCTAAGTGAGGTGGAAAAGATTCTGTATACCTAGGCAGCTTCCTTCATTTAAAAAAAAAATCCTTGCATGTAGCAAAGTAGTATATCAAGGAGCAAAGCTCGCTTGCTGGTTTTCTGCATGCAAGGAGAACAGCGTTTATGCAGGAACTCTGAAGCCCACAGGTGCCTACTGGACCAAAGAAACACACCTTAGCCCACGATTTCCTGTCTTGCTCCTTGCTATGGTAAGTAAAGGTGGCAAACAAAGCAAAGGTCTTGCATATATTTGCATATTTTATAGAGAGAAGGGGAGTCCTTTTCACAGAGCTTGGAAAAAGCTCATTTTAGACTTCTGTGCTGTTCCAGCTTATCAGCTACAACCCGGCTAAAACCTGGGAAAATCTTAATTGATTCATTACAGGAATGTTAGATTTCCATCAGTTCCTGGATCAGTCCTACCTAAAAACAGGTCTGAAGAAGGCAGCGGCGACAGATCTTTCCTGTGTGACAGAAATATCTCCTATTTTGTCTCTGCAGCTTCTCTGCTTATGTGCATTTTACAAATATATGTATATATTGCAAGGGAGGGTGCAATTAGGAAAACAGATCATTGCTACTGGAGACTTAACTGAGTGACGCTTCACCTTGAGGTCCTCTTTAAGGAGAAAAGCAAGATAAAAATATTTATTTATTAGCAAATCTTGTTATCTCGACTTTCTCCTCAAAGAGGATCCAAGGTGAATATTTATAAATAAATAATAATTGTTTTAAATAAATATTGTATTTATATGAAACAAATATATTATATAAATACTTTAAATAAATATTGTAAATATATATTTTTTTGTGCTGGGGAAAATTGGGGAGCAGGAGTGGAGGAAGGAAGGGACAAAGAAGCCACTCAGAGAGCCAAAAGCTGAATTGTTCCCACCCCAAAGTTAATAGAGCAAAGGGGGGGGGAGGGAGGATTTCTGTGACATTTCACATTTTCTGTGGAACCTACTTTTGAACCCATAAGCAACCCCTTTTTTTAAAAAAAGCAGTTTGTGCTGGGCAAAATTGGGGAGCAGGAGTGGAGGAAAGAAGGGACAAAGAAGCCACTCAGAGAGCCAAAAGCTGAATTGTTCCCACCCCAAAGTTAATAGAGCAAAGGGGGGGGGAGGGAGGATTTCTGTGACATTTCACATTTTCTGTGGAACCTACTTTTGAACCCATAAGCAACCCCTTTTTTTAAAAAAAGCAGTATAAAAATATTTTGAATAAATAAATAAATAAAATCTTTATGAGTAATTTGGCCTTTCTCATCAGATTACTCATAAACATTTCTAAACCCATCCATAAGCTCAAAGATAAGTTGCAGGAAAAAATATGACATGTCATAGAAATCCTCCCCCCCCAAGAACACGCTAATGGCTAATTGGTGAAACATGGGGTGATCCATACCTGGCACGGTTCTTAATCCATTCACGGTGTTGTTCCTTCTTTCCCAACGCAGGTCCAGCTGGGAACTTCCAGATCTCCTTGAGGGCAAGATCCAAGCGATCAGCGATTCCGATGGGGTCAATTACCCGTGGTACGGGAACACCACGGAAACGTGCACCATCGTGGGCCCCACCAAGAAAGAAGGAAAAGTCATCGTCAGCATGAATGATAACTTCTACCCGAGCGTCACCTGGGCGGTGCCGGTGAGCGACAGCAACGTGGCCAAGCTGACGAACATCCACCGGGACCAGAGTTTCACCACGTGGCTCGTGGCCACCAACACCGCCACCCACGAAATGGTCATCCTGCAGACCATCAAGTGGCGGATGAAACTGGGCATTGAGGTGAGCCCCACCAAGCCGCTGGGCCACCGTGCCAAGCTGAAGGAGCCCCACGCTCAGGAACCCCCCCAGGTCCTCAGCAGAAATGAGCCGATACCGCCAAGTGCCCTTGTGAAACCCAACGCCAACGATGCCCAGGTGCTGATGTGGAGGCCGAAAGAGGGGCGCCCTCTTGTGGTGATACCTCCAAAGCATCGGTAAGGAGACCCCCCACCCGTTGCCCTGTGTTCGGGCCGCACGGGGAGGGGGGGGAAGGAGGAGGCATAAGACCCACTTCGTGTTTAAGAGAAACGTATATTATTTAAGCAAAAACAGAGATGCACTTTTTAACTTGTTTGACAAAAAAAAGAGGAAAATAATAATAATAATAATGCAACGATTCTACCTTGGCCCATCGGAACGGATCTCACTGTGCTACAAGATCAAAGGAAGGAGTCTTCTCTTCCCTAGTGCTTATTATTGGGGTGTCCCTCGGACGTCACCTAATTTCTAAGGAATTGAACAAATACAGATCTACATGCATTTCCAGCTTTTTTGTTTTTGTTTTGTAAGATTGGCTTTTTCCTTCCTTCGGTTGTTATTCAAAGTCCAATCTCCCTCATTCAGATCACCAGAAAAGAGAGAGATAGAGAAAAAGAAGAAAAGTTTGGTTTTTTTTTAAAAAAATAAATTATATGGGAAATTGTATTTTCTCTGGGGGGGAAAAATAGATTATATTTGGTGGGAAGGGGAATGGGTTTGAATGAGGTGGCTTTCCGGAAGTAGAAATCTCAATTTAAAAAAAAATATTTATTGGGTAATGACAGATGATCGTGATAAGCGGTTAGTTGTATTTTTTAAAAAGATATTCCAAATCGCAAACCTGCGTCACGCGGCCTTATGTAAATGTTGCTTTGCATTGCCAAACTTTTGCCTTAAGCTGCATTTAAAAGGGAAAGGGAGAGAGAGAGAGAGAGAACATGATAGAATCAAAGCAAAACTCTCATTTTCTTAACTGGATGTTAAAAGAGAGGGGAAAGGTTTATTTGGGTTGCAGCAGGAACGATCTGGTTTTATCGCACTAAGCCTCTGGAGGTGGGTGGACTGCTGTGTTTTGCCTCATAGCTTCAGGCTGAAATTCCACCGGCAGAGCACGCCTCAGCACAGAGGTGCAATGCGAAAGGCTGAACTGCCCCGGTTTCATTTCTGCTTGTCTGCAAGCCGCTCACTGGGTTAACACTGGAATTGATATCATTTGTGTATTCGGTTTTTACAGAGAATCCAGAGAATGGCATGGTGCGATTTTGGTGTTTTCCCTGTAGATTGCCTGTCCCTTTTTTTTTCTTCCCCCAGGCCCAATTGGCATTGGTACTTTGGAGGTTTTGAATTTAAAAACAACAGCAACAAAACATTTAGGGCACATCTGCCTTTAAACATATGGTTTGCAGGTTCAGTCTGCTTTATGACTTCATCTGAGTGACGAATCGTTGGTTGACTGTCAGTTTCTCTTCTTGTGAGTCTGTGGGGAGGGATTTCATATACACTGGGACCCCCTTATCTGTGGGGAATCGGTTCCAAGCTCCCACACACCCCCAAATGCTGAAAAACAGGGATTATAGCAAACATTGTTGTAATAGTGAACGCTCTACACTGCATGGTCTCTGGCCCCCTCTAGGGGCCAGTTCTTGTAAATTCCTCTTTAGAAATATATATATTTCTAGGATTTTTTAAAATATATTTTTAATATTTCCCGGCAGTGGATAAGTGAATCAGCAGAGACAGATCCCACAGAAAAAATGGTCCCACTGTACTTAGTTTAAATAATTAGTTTAAATCTTTTCATTCGTTTCGGCAAAAAAGCTAGACAGATACGAAAGAATTATCTATATAGAAAAGTAAATTAGTATTCTAAGTCAACCAGACCAGATGGGCGGGATATAAATCAAATAAATAAATAAATAAATAAATCTCCCTTCTCCTGCTGCTCACCGGAAGAGAAACTGAGAAAAGAGGCAATGAAGCAAATATTTGTCACCCGTCTCTGCTTATCTCCTGGTGTGATATGCAGAGCAGGAAGCGTTTAATTAGTATCTAATGAACCTTGGAGGAACTGGATTTATTTCAGAGCGAAACATGAAAGGGTTGTGGTCAAGTGGGGAACGGCGTGGCTGGATCCTATAGCACAAAACTGGTTAAACTTAACAATGACTGGAGGGGGGGGAAGACCCAGCGCCTTGGCCGTTGAAAGAATTTGGGTAATGGGAGCAACCTGGGTTTGTTGGGGGGAAACAGCTGAGCGACCGGAGAGACCGTATTGTTTGAGGGTCCCCAAGTAACTCACCCTAGGTCGATAAGAATATATCCGGGCAAGCTCTGGTACGCTCAATTTCTGCCTCTCGTTCAAGAACAGGGAGTCGCCCGTTGACCTTCCTCTCCCCTTAAAATTCTGGCACTCAGATTCTCTACACAGGAGGTGGAGGATCCCAAGCAGGCACGCAGCGTCACCCAGAATCTCCTGCATAAAGAGATTCCTTGTCAGATCCGCTCTCTACCCCGGGTGAAGTCAATGTCGCGTGAAACATTTTTAAAGGACAGGCGGGAAGATCTAAGGAGACTTTTTTCCCTCTTTAATATGAAAGAAACCTCACTCTGATGCATCCTTTCTTTCGGGAGGATGCTGGACCGGACATTTGTTCGGCAAACCCGTGTTGCTTGGCTCATTTAGGATCAGGGCCTTATGGGGTCCCTTCTTCGTTGGGGAAACCACGTAAGGGTTTTTGGTTTGGTTCAGGCTTTGAAGGCGGTCGCCCTTTTCTAAGCTCAACGGGTGAAATTACAAGATGCTCACTTTGGCTTTGTGGAAACATTCACACTCTTGTAAGTCGCACGTTGGCCCTGGCAGGTGATCCCAGGTGTGCTTTTAGAGGGGCAGCTGCTGCTGCTTCTGCAAAAAACAAGAAAACAAACCCAACCCCCTAACGTGCTGGTGTAGGCTTTGCCCTTAACCAGGAGCAGTTGGGTGTTAAAACAAAATTCCTAGGTAACCTTAACGCCTTCCGAAAGCTGCTCTCCTCTCAAGCAGAACGGCTGGCGTTCAGGGACGATGGGAGGGCCACTAACTCTTCCTGTTTCAGAGCATCATGCGCTGGTTTATTCCCCCTACCGACTTAACCAGCGCACAAGTACGCTGTACATGCTTAATAGCATACTGCTGCTGCTGAATCACAGGGCTGTTACTTAAGAAAAGGGAAGTGAATCAGTCATAGCCCTTTGATTCCTGGACTACTACTCCCATTACCTTTACCATGAGCCGGGCCGGATGGGGGCTGATGGGAGTTGTAGCTAAACAAGAGTTTTGAAAGACCACTGTTTCCCTAGCCTTGTCTGCTAATGGAACTTGGGGAAAGTACCTTCTCTCTTTTTTTTGGCTGCGTGGGTGGAAGGATTCTGGGAATTGTAGTCCCAACTTTGCAACGTTTCTGTCGTTTTTGCAACGCTGAAGCAGCGATGCTCTGTGGAGGGCTGGTGGAATGGAAGGAGAGTAGAAACGGTTTGCACACAAAACGGATCCGATTTTTTGCACTTGAGCACTGCGACCGACACTTGGCTTTCAGCTGCGAAAAGGCGCCCATTACTGCAGCATCTATTCCTCCAATATAGGCCACGAGAGTGAGATGAGGGGAAATGGTTTTTAGGGGAAAAGAGGCCTGTTTCACCCATAAAGTGGAAGGGGGAGGCGAGAGTTGGTTGGGGTGGGGTGAGAGGCTTACCATAAACCACTTCCTTCTGGGAGGGGGGATGAAAGGGGCGCGCCTGGAATTTACGTTGCAGCAATAAGAACTTGTCTTTGGTCTTTGCAAAAATACTGTGAATTTTTTTTTTTAAGAAAATGTATCGAGTCCAGACACTTTAAAAAAAAGTATATTTAACAAAAAAAGAAAAAGCAGCACTTTTGCTTTTAAAAAAGACACCACAAAAAACACAAAAGAATAAAGCAGCATTTTCAAAGACAGATGTGATCTGTTTTTTTTTTCCTTAAAGGCAATTTTGTGCAAAAAAAGTGGCCTCTTTTAACAAAACAAAATAATATGCCAATGAGAATGATATGACAGAGAGGTGGGAGGAAGGAGTAGCGAAAAGGTTAAATTCCTTTGATTCACTTTTGCAGGTGATTTTCTGATTCAAATGAATATAAGAACTGAAACTCAACATTCTTTTTGAAATGCACACTTAGAATTTGGCAATTAATGTTTGCAAAAAAAAAACACAAAAAAAACCCCAACACCACCACATCCATAACAGGAGCCTAAATCCAGTTGTTACCCTGATTAAAACAGACCCCTGAATCAATGAAACAAATGAGCCTCGATTCATCAAGGTCCTATTGATTGGGGAACTGCTCGAGAGCTCAGTGGGGTTGAGGTCTCTCTGGCTGCCACTTCCTCGGACGCATGAAGGAGAATATTGACGCCTTGGGGGTTTTAGGGGCTCTGGGTGGGACGGGTGGAGGGAGATCCGGCTGCACTAGGAAGAGGGGTCCATCCTCATTGCTCTCGGGGGGCTGGGGGAGTGCACAAACCCCCTCACCGTAACAATCAGTTCCCCTCTGAGGGTGTGTTAAAACTCTCTGCTTACCAGAGAGTGGCCTGTATGAGCGGAAACCGAAAAGGACTTGCTGTGTCTCACAGGAAGGAAGGCTAGAAAAATTATTACCGGGTCTATTCTGGTTGGCTCTCGTATCTGGGCGTTGGTTTCAAAAGGCACGAGGGCACGGAGAAAAATAATTCCAAGGACTTCACTGTGGCATCAAAACCGACCTGTGGATTTGCGGCGCCCGGAAGACTGGACTGGGCACAAGCCACTTCCTTGGACGCATGAAGGAGAATATTGATGCCTCGGGGTTTTTAGGGACTCTGGGTGGAACGGGTGGAGGGAGATCCGGCAGGACTAGGAAGAGGGGTTCATCCTCATTGCTCTTGGGGGGCTGGGGGAGTGCGCAAACCCCCTCACCGTAACAATCAGTTCTCCTTTGAGGGTGTGTTAAAACACTCTGCTTACCAGAGAGTGGCTTGTATGAGCGGAAACCGAAAAGGACTTGTTGTGTCTCACAGGAAGGAAGGCTAGAAAAAGCCCTGTGCTTTTAGACATGCAGGGGGCACCAAAAAACACCCTAATGCTGGCCTTCCGTGCCTGCTTTATCTGCATTCCCCACGAGGCTACCGAACACCACCCTTGGAGGCGTGGGGGCCCTTGAATGGAGACCAGGCGATCTGAAACCTGGCCACGGCCACGAGGTGTCGTTTTCCCCCCTACCCGTGACTGAAAAAGCAGGCCCTAATGGGGAGTATTCCAGGATGCCTTTCGGGCCCCAAAGCAT